CCTTCTGACTTATTTAATCAACTTTTTTTGTTTGTTTGTTTTTCAAAACAGGGTTTCTCTGTAGCTTTGGAGACTGTCCGCAAACTCACAGAGATCCGCCTGCCTCTGCCTCCCGAGTGCTAGGATTAAAGGCGTGCGCCACCACCGCCCGGCAATTTAATCAACTTCTAAAGCTAGTAACGACTATTATGACTATTATGAGTTACTGTAGGCTAGGGGGGTCTATAAACCAGTTGTGAACATGACCAGGTAGTAAATATTTTTCTGCTGTAGTAATAGATACAGGTGACTGACAGTACATTAAAAAAATTGATGCTGTCTAATAAAACTTTGTTTGAGACAGGGTCTCATGTAGTCCTGGCTGGCATGAAACTCACCAGTAGACTAGCCTGGCTTCAAACTCACAGAGAACTGTCTGTGTTTAACTCCTGGGTGCTGAGATTATGGGTGTGAGTCACTACAACTGCCCAAAACTTATATAAAAAAAGATACTGATTCTACTGTGAGTCATAGTCTTGGGTTGAGTTCCCCAGAAAGAATCCTGAGAGTCATTCATCCAGTAGTAGCTTCCCGGAGAAACTGGTAGGAATGGGGAAAGGCGAGAAGATAAACAAAATTGTGTTCTCAGGCAAAAATTCTCCAAGAGTGATTTCAGCCTGAAGCATCACAGATGAAAACCACTAGAAGCAAATACATACCAAAACCTGGGGAGCTACCAAAACTTACAAAAGGGGTACAGGGGTCTGAGGAAAAAGTTGACAGCATCTGCTGCCATAATGCACCATACAGTGAACTAAGGAGGCTCTCTAACTTCGAGTTCTGCTGTCTTGCTATGCACCAGGCAGGGAGAGGCAATTGGAACTATGGAATGACTACATAATGAATTACAGCCTAATAGTCGTGCTAATGTAGCCCCCGCTGAAGGGTCACCACTGGACTTGAGCCGGCCTCTTAAAAACTGGAAGGCAGTTGAGTATGGTGTTTAAAAGCTCTGAGATGGTGGCGTACGCCTTTAATCCCAGCACTCAGGAGGTAGAGGCAGGCAGATTTCTGTGAGTTTGAGGCCAGCCTGGTCTACAGAGTGAATTCCAGGACAGATTCCAAAGCTACACGGAGAAACCCTGTCTCGAAAAACCTAAATAAATAAATACATAAAATAAAAGCTCTGACTTTGAGTGAGACAGGTGTGGGCCGAAATTCTGGCTCCACTTCTGACAATGAGGCCTTGGAAAGTTCCTTTGTTTCCTCGATTTCTCCATCTAAAAAATGGGGATGATAAAATAGCATTTCCGCATAAATCTGTATTGAAAATAAACAGAGAACTCTTACACATTACTTAGCATCATCCTGAGCGGTCAGTGGCTATTAGCTGTAATTAGCTGCGGGGGAGGGTAGCTGGGTGAGTGCTTGCCTAGCATTCTGGTTCAGTTCCTAGCATCACATAAATTGGGAATGGTGGTTCACACCTGAATGGAGTCCCCGGACTCCAGAGGTAGAAGTAAAGAGACCAGAGTTGAAGGTTATTCTGCATAGCCAGCCTATCTAAAAAGAAAGAACTTTTTAAAATATGAGTTTGTTGTTGTTATTGTTTTTAAGGCAAATTTTACTATGTAGCCCAGGCCGGTCTGGAACTCAGAGATCTGCCTGCCTGTGCCTCCTCAGTGCTGGGATTAAAGTGTGTGCTGCCAAGCTTGTTTTTGTTTTTTTGAGGCATGGTGTTATATAACAGAGGCTGGCCTGGAACTCATGTGTAGATGAAGCTGGCCTTGAATTCCTAATCTCGGGATTCTAGGACACAGACAGATAAGGATTCAAAGCAATCTGGATCCTACGTAGGAAAGATCCTTGTATGGGGCCTGCGGAGAGCTGCTATGTAGCCAGCCCCATTCTCAGCCCAACACTGGCCACAGGAAGACCTGCAAGAGACCAACGCATCTTTCTTTCTTTCTTTTCTTTTCTTTTTTTGAATTTTTTTTTTTTTTGAGACAGGGTTTCTCTGTATCAACGCATCTTTCAAAGCAGATTGCTGACTGGGCTGTGCATCTACTTTTATAATCTCCATCTCCCTCTCCTTGGCCCTGCCTTCTTAAGAGACTGCATTCTTTTGTTAGTGGTGTTGGTTTTGTTTTTGAGACGGGGTCTCACCATGTAACCCAGGCTGGCCTCCAACTCACAGAGTCCACCTGCCTCTGCCTCCCAAGTGCTGGGATTAAAGGTGTGAACCACCATATACCTAGCTTAGAGACTGTATTGTAGAAATTTACCCCAGACTCTCCTGCTCCATACTTTACCCCCCAAGACACTACTTGTTTCTCAACTCTTCTGAAGAAAGGCTGTTGTCAGTATCTCAGAAGCTCTTGGCAGCTTACCTGAAGTAGGGTCAGTTGCCCACCTGTGTGATGCTAGTCTGTCCTTCATTGCGTTATTATATGGTAGCTGTGATACTGCGTTTGGTCTTCCTGTCAGGGTACAAGCTCCTGGACAGCACACACTTAAAACTAACCAAAACAAACAAACACCTGGGTCTCATGTAGCCTAGGCTAGCTTTGAGTTTGCGGTGTAGCCAAGGATGTCTCATGATCCTCTTGCTGGGCTTACAGGCATCCACTACTACATTCTGTTTATGTGGCATTGAGGATCCAACTCAGGGCTTTGTGGGTGCCAGGAAAGAACCCTCTTCATTTAGCTCCCTCTCCAGAGCAGGTACTCTATCAGCAGAGACCAAAAGTGTCCCATACTTATGTTTAGTACAGTGGATCAGCTTTTCTGCATGCCTCTACCTAGTTTTCCCGTAGTTCATTAATTCTGCCTTGGACATCAGTAAAAGATTATATAACCCCTACTGTGACATCTTCCAGGGGTCGTTATCTTCCAAGATCCTCTAAAAGGTTAGAGATATCATTAGGGTAATAATAATACGGTTCTCATGATGCCAATATTTTACACATTCAGAATTCGAGGAAACTGGAGCCCCGAGATTCAAATGCTTTTCTGTGACTTTGTAACTAGGAAAGTAGAATCCACATCTTGAGTTCCAAGCTCTCCCAGCAACTCCACAGATGATTTTAGCTCTCAAACTTAGTGCATTATATCTGTGGGTAGGCTAGCTACTGACTGTTCTTGTCATTCTCTCAAATGGAGATTCCAAGTTCTTGGTACTGAGGCAACTTACCCTAGTCCACATAGCTGAGAATGAGAGATTGTTGGTACCCAAGTCTGTGTGATTCCAAAGCTCAACAGTCTTCTCTACCCTGTTGCTTTAAGTACTTGGTGCTGGGTCAGAGGATGAATGGAGAGAAAACGGAGCCAATGGATAAATCACCATAGAGCACGAGAACCAAAGCTAACCCAGCCCTTTTGCTACCCACTCCACTTCCCATGGCAGGCTGCGGGAACAGTGCTCTGAGCTACGAGCTATTCCTTGGCGGTTTTCCTAACGTGACCAGTGTGGATTACTCTCCAGTCGTGGTGGCAGCTATGCAAGTTCGCTACGCCCACGTGCCCAGTCTACGCTGGGAGACCATGGATGTGCGAGCGCTGGACTTCCCTGGTGACTCCTTTGATGTTGTACTCGAGAAGGGTACACTGGACGCCCTGCTGGCCGGGGAGCGGGACCCCTGGAATGTTTCTTCTGAAGGTGTCCACACTGTGGACCAGGTGCTGACTGAGGTGAGGAAACAACAGGACAGCAAAGACAGAGACCGAGATGCTGGGAAAAGGGGTTGGATTTTCAAGAGCCTGGAAGATCTCAGAGACCAGAAAGTAAGACTCGAAGCACGTCACCTTCAAAAGTGAAGAACAGATGAGACTGGAGTGACCAGGCTCACATAGGCCAGTGGTTGGATACTGACTGGACATAGGGGAGAGGTGGTAGCCAGGCTCCAGACAGGTGATGCAGGCCTGGGGTGTGAGGAGCTGAGAGGAAAGCTGTACCTCCTGCATGACCATGCCCCCTCCCTATTCAGAATTGAGCCCTATATAGGACAGCCAAAGGCAGAAGGTGGCTTATTCTCACAGAAAGCCTGGATGATAGGTTTGATTAGGAGGTCATTGTGGGTGGTACTGACCTTTGAGAACGTGGAGATGATCCCGCACTGATGGCTTCTCTGTCTGCCTTGCAGGTGAGCCGGGTGCTGGTTCCTGGAGGCCGGTTCATCTCAATGACTTCTGCGGGTCCCCACTTTCGGAGCAGACACTATGCTCAGTCCCATTATGGCTGGTCACTGAGGCACACAACCTATGGCAGTGGTTTTCACTTCCACTTCTACGTCATGCAGAAGGGCAGAGAGCTCAATGTGACCCAGTTGGCCCTGGGGGCCCAGCTCCTGTCGACCCCCAGTCCTCCTGCCTCACCCTGCTTCCTCCAAGACTCAGATAACGAAGACTTTCTCGGTGCCATCCATCTGTGAGACTGGAAGCATGGTCTCCAAGCCCTCTGTGCCTTTGTACACTAAATTCCCAACTTGGGGCTGCGGAATTGGTTAATGGGTACTCAAATCCCAGAGGTCTCATGCATAAAAGAGTGCTGGTGGGATCGAGCCCATATCAACCAATACAGTATGAGTCCAACTAAGTCCCAAATCCCAGGTCTCTAGCTTCTAGGTTTTTTGTTTTGTTTTGTTTTCCTACAGGGTTCCTGCATCTCCTCCAACATACAGTGTCCTATGATTTTGTTGAACTTTGAGGTAAAGTTCAACACAGTTTCTCTGCAAACCAACCAACCTTGGATATTCCTATCCAATCTGAATTTATCCTTAAGAGGCTAAAGATCTTGAATTTAGATTGCTTATATTTCTGATCCCAGCTCAGCCCCAACACTGGTGACCTGTCCTGCTTAGGCTATAAGCGTACTTAAGGAAGACGTATGGTTACGATCTTTCCATACAAGAGTGCCTTCCTAATGCTCACCTGCTAACACTTCTCCACTGGGAACTTGCACCCAAGATTGTCCACACCTGTCTCCCAGCAGACTAAAGTAGCACACACACATGCACACACACTCACACACACGGAGGTCTGTGTTTATTCACACACTCCTGTTACATTGAGGATGGAGAAACATTTTTACAAAGGACAACCCTGGGTTGAAAACATCTTCAGGTCCACAGGTGTCATCCAAAGGTACTGAGCAGTCCCCATTTGGGTTCCCAGGGATAGCATGAAGGGGTCCAAGGTAAAATCAGATCTGGGCCCTTAAAAGGTGATACCTTGGGAGGGAGGAGTCTCCCAATGAGCCTCCTGGGGTCAGGTTTGGGCAGACTGGCCATGTGGTTAGTTACCATGTTGGGGGCTTGTCCCATCCCAGTCTCAACACCTGTCCTATCTGCCAGGCGCAGAAGAGCATGGCGGAGGCTGTGGGGGAAGGGCACAAACCATGAGAGGAGCCAGTAAACAAAGAATCGGATATAAAAATACAAATGTGCTGAGGAAGTCCCTTAGAAAGAGGCTGGGGTCACGCCAGACAGGGGTACAGTCGAGGAAAGACCCGGAGGGCTAGGCTGAGGTGGGTAGGAAGCTCATGCAAATATGCAGCCAAACCTCCCTGGCCGTGCAGTCCGACGCCGCCGCAGCTGCCCGGGCTGCAGACCAGATTGATCGGAGGAGGGGCGGGGCAGGGGGGAGCCGTGCGGGAGAGGGCGGGCTGGGGGCCGTGGGTCTCTGTGTCGGTTCCGGTGTGCGGGGTGGAGCTGCGGCCCGAGGTTCTAAAGTGCATGAGTGCGTCGGCGGGCTCCGGGCTGGTCTGCACCACCACTACCGCCGCCGCCGTGGTGCTGAAGCGGACAGCTCCGGAGCGCCTGGCAGCGGCGGTAGCAACACCGACCCCGCGGCGGCGGCGTGGCCCTGCAGCCCCCGCCCGCAGGCACCTCGGCCCGGGCGGGGGTGCGCCGGCAGCCGCATCGCCGGCCCGTGCTCCTGGCCGCTGCGGGGCTGGGCCCGGAGCCCGCCGCCAGAGCCGGCGCGTCTACACTCCGGACGGAGGCTTCTCCCCCATCCCCTTCAGCACGTCGTCTATCCGGTCATCCTCGATCACCACTGCGCAGGGAGAAAGCGCATCAGCCGCGTGGTCTCGGGGGGCGGCGGCGAGAGTGGGGCCCGCGCAGATCTACTCTGCTGGCTATGGTCCCGCGACACCACTCGAAAACCTATGCCCTCCCCACCCGAACTCTTCTGCGGACCCTACCTGCTACCAGACCTGGGACCCAAACCTCCTCCCTGTGTGGGAACACCCCTCTTTCAAAGATTCCCAGTGCGAACCTTCCTGTCACCTGAGCCTTCCTCCATCTAAACTGATCGGAAATCTCTCCTTTCGACAGAGACCCCCTCCTCAAACTGGGCTCAGATGAAACTGCCACCTGGTGTGTAACCCTCTCCTCCAGCTGAATCCCCGTCCTGATACTGGCACCCGGAGTCCCCTGCCCGTGCAAACAAACAAGACAACCGAACCCTTGGCCTCCTTGCCCTCCAGTAGCATCCACCTACTCATCTTAGCCCAAGGAATCGGCCCACCATCCTGCGTTCCCAGTGCCAAGCAGCCCCAAATACCCTAAGCGGCCCCTCCCCCTCGACCAGGAGCCAGGGCTCTTTTTCCAGAAGTGGCGAGCTTCGAATCCGGGACACTGTATTCCCGGGAGAGGAAAAGAATGGGACAACTCCACAGCAGGGACCCTCCCCACCCCGGGCGGGTGCGCAGCTGGCTGCGCTGGTCTGCGGCAAGAGCGGCTGCCACTTGACGGGGAACGGCAGCCTGAGGACGCCGGGCGAAGGGTTTCTGGGTCAGGCGGCGACTCCGGGCCCGGGCCGCGTACCTCTCTTGGCTCGGCCGATCTGGCCCAGCTTGGGGGGCCGCTTGGCCTGGTTGCCGGCGAAGAAGGAGTTGGTGTCCTGCAGGCGGCAGCTGAAAGAGAGGTCGGAGCCCTCGGGGTCTGCGCCGAAGCGGCCCATCTTGTCCTCACCGTAGGGTAGGATCTCGGACATGGCGGGCACCGGGCGGGCTAGGGACTGCGGCGGGGCACGGGCAGAGGCTAGCTGCCGGACCGGCCCTAGCTCAGCAGGGGAGCCGGCGGAAGGATGAAGTCATACAGCATCCGGGACTGCGGAGCCGAGCGGGGCCTCCTCCCCCGCGCCTCCGCCTCCCGGGCCGCTGGGCAGGCGGCGGCGGCAGCGGAGGGGACCGGGCGGGGGCGGGGCGGGGGCGGCGGCGGCGGCGAGAGCGGAATGACGATGAGCGCCCGACTGCGGCAGAGAACGGCAGGCGGGGCGCGGTGGAGGCGGGGCGGGCACCGGCCAGCGGAAAGAGGCGGGGCCCAGCGGTCCGAGCGAGCCCGGTGATCCCTGGAGTGGAGCGAGCAGCCGTGGGAGGTTCCCGCGATATGGCCCGGAATGGCCGCCACGTGGGCCCGGGAAGACCGCAGCGGCCGGTGCAGGCGAGAGCTAGCCGAGAATGGGTAGCCTAGTGCTTAGGGGAGAAGGGGAGGGTCGGACTACGCGGCTAGGGAAGCGCGCCTGGGAGCCGAGCGCCAAAAGCTGGGGGCGCGGCGGGGCTTCGGAAAGCGGTGGCCAGACTGGCAGTGGACACGGCCCGGACCCTGAAGGGCGCCTGGAGAGGGCGGAATACGCGTGAAGACAGGGGAAGGTACCAGCCGACCGGAGCGCGGGAAGAACTCGGGCCTGGGGGTGGTGCCACCTTGGTTGGCGCGTCCCTGTATCCTAGATGCTCGCAGGTCTCCAGCAGCAACTGGTCAATTTGTATTCGACTGTCAGCATCTGTCATTCTACGTCTGTGCATCTGATCTGGTCTCTGTGTTGGGTTTGGACTTTCTGTATCTGTCTCCACACTTGGCCCCTGTATGGATACCATCGGGTCTGTCCCCACTAGACTACGTTGCGGCCTTTCAGTAGGATCTTAACACCGCAACCGCAGCGCGCAACAGAGTAGACTCCCCACAAACCCTAGGCCCGCTCTTGGCGCCAAAATCCAGACTCAAAGCGCCAGTCGCTCCACGCGGTTCCCTCAGCCCTGGAGGCTCGCTCTAGCTGGCAGTGTGGGAGAAATGAATGGCAGCATCGCGGCGGGCGCCCTGGATGCGGGTGACGCAGGGAAGCCCGGAGTGCCTGAGCACGAGGCGCGCGCTAGTAAGCGTCGGGAGGGACAGGGTGTCCCCCGCCCTTGTTGCTGGGGCCCAGGGTAGAGTTCTCCCCACCCCCTTCCACAGATCAGAACGTGTGCTCTTCCCTTTACCTCTTTCCGCCCCCCAAACCCCGCCCCCGCCCGGCTAGCAGTCAGTCTCCGCGTCACCGGCTCTCTGGCGCGAGAGGGCTCTGGCGCAACCACTGGCCTTAGGAGGGAGGGTGTGTCTCATTCACAGTGAAGAGCTGGTAAAGATTCTTATGACGCCGTTGGTTCTGTCCACGTCCCAAGCAAGACAACACCTTCCCTTTAGTCCGGCCAAATCGTGCAGCTAGTGAGATTGCTGGGTGCTGGCTTTCCTCCCTTCAGCACCACTTATTCGGGTGTTAATTGCAAAGACATCTGCTGTCAGAATGGGGCCTGAGAGGTAGGGAGAAGGTGCGAGGGACTGCTCCCTTGGCGGGTCTCAGCCTGATCAGAGGTTTCTTCGAGCACTCCTGCCCTCCGACCTCGTGGCTGGGAGGGGGGCCGCCAGCTAGGCCCTGTGATGAGAAGGTCCCTGGCATCTGGAAGGAAGAAAGGAGTAACTCTGGGTGACTAGAGAACCCAGAACGCCTCCCTCCCCTTGGAAAATGCACTGCAATTACTTTTAATCCATCATCTGCCATTACCGGAACGACCTTGAATCTAGGACCCAATACTCACGGTTTTTGTGCTGGTCCTGGTAGCCTTGGCATTTCATCCCAGCATTCAACGAGGCTGATTTCTGTGAGTCTGAGCCAGCTGAGTCTACATAGTGGGTTCTGGGCTAGCCAGGGCTACATAGTGAAACTCTGACCTGAAACAAAAACAAACCGAAAAAAAAAAGCATTTCTACTTGTATAACTTTAGAAAAACAAAGAAAACCACACCAAACCTTGGCTGTATAGCCTTCATCTTACCCAGTGAGAATGTGTCCTATGCACCTCTCTGAGCTGGTTGGTACTCTAGTCTAAAACACAGAGAAAACACCGAGTTGGTCTTGAGCTAAACTGCATTGTTTCAGGAACTGAGCAGCCCCTCACCTAAATTGTGGAAGAAGGAGCCCTGGGGTTCTTGCCAAGGGTGGATACTGTATGGGAAGTGAAACAAAATCCTTCTCTAGAATGAGAGAGATAAGGATAATAATTTAACCTAAATTCATTCATTCATATTTTTTTTAAAGACAGGGTCTTACTACGTAGCCCGAGCTAGCCTGAAACTTGTTATATAGCTTAGATAAGCCCCTCCCCAGCCTTCCCCCAATGTTTCTGGGAGTACAGGGGTGTGCTACAACACTCAGTTGGTTAGATTCTTCTGTTTTCTTTGAGACAGGGTCTCACTATATACACCTGGAATTTGTGTAGATAAGGCTAGCCTTGAACCTCCCAAACCTTAAATAACTGTTTTAACTAATCTATTCTTGTCTCCCTGTGCGTGCTGGATTGTAGTTAAGCAAAAGACCCAAGGGCAGAACTGTAAAGACTTTGTAATGCTGAATATATGTAAGTTCCACTTCTGTCATCAAAGTGTGAGGAAAGGTCCTTATATTCTGATCCTCAGAAGTTTGATGTGTTTCATCCCTGCTTTGATAAAATTTGAAGAGTTAATAGCATTTTGAATATTTAAAATTGAAAATCCCTCACCTGGGGCATAGTAGCACACGTCTGTTCCCAGCACTCAGAAGGCTAAAGAAGGAAGATCTCACGCTGCCTGTCCTACATAGAGAGTTCAGGTCCAGCCTGGACTACTTTGAGAACCTGTCTCAAAAAAGCCCAGGACTGGGGATGAAGTTCAGCGATAGAGCATCTTGCACAATAGGCTTGCATAGGGCTCTGGGTTGGTTCCCCAGCAGGGAAAATAAACAACAAAACCCCACTGCTGATAGAACCCATTTACCAAGGATCGAACTGGAGCCCCAGACACCTCAGTAGACTTTGATAGATTCATGTAGTGATTAATGAGTCTGGAGTCTAGATTCAAATCCTGCCTTATATTTACTATTTGATTTGGGTCAAATTGTTAAGCTTCCCAGTATCTTATGTTTCTCATCTGTACTAAAGGACAATTATATTAGTGGTATATATTTTTATTAGATTGTAAAGATTAAATTAACAAGGAAAACATATAGAAATGGTAGCTGTTATCATATAGACCCAAAGAGCTTGGAAGTAAGATCAGGCTTGTTTAAGGGCTCAGTAAGTAAAGGCACGTGCTGTCAGGATCTGATTTCAATCCCCGTGATGGAAGGAGAGACACCCACAAGGTGTCCCTCTGACCTCTACATGTGTGCTGTGGCATGCGCAAGCATGTGTATAATAAATAAATAAAAAGAATGAATATCATCATTTTGCACATTCATACCAAACTTTTTTTTACATCCTTCTGACATTTTTTCAACCTGTGCTTGCGTGTATTTGTTTATTTTGCTTTATAAAAATGAAAATTTAAAAATCCCTGTCTCTCTTAATTTTTATGGCAATTCTATTGATTATTCCTCTTCTATCATTTGCACGTGCTGCTCAGTGTCCCATTGTATGGATGTTGGAGTTATTCAACAAGCCCTCTATACTTACACATTATTTCCTCCCTATTTTGGAGGTATTATAAATAATGCTGCGATGAGCAAATGTGCGGGGAAAAAACCAATATTTTGAAGCTCTCCCAGTACAGAAGCAGAGCCTAGTTCTCCATCCCTGAGTCTGATTCTGACCACAGGACTGGGTTGCCCTGTGGGAACACTAGCAAATGGGAAGGAGCCAAGGTGTGAAAGATGGCTGGGCCCTGGAGCGTGACCCCAGCTTTGGGGTTTGTTGTTGTTGCTGCTGCTGTTGGTGAGAGCTCTAATGATGAATAATCTTAGCTCAACTTTTCTCTTCTTTTGTTATTTTGATTGGCATGGTATAGAAGAAGAGTAACTACATAGGATTTGGTCGTCCCAATCAATGTCCACAAAACAAATAAGGCCATCTAAGTATTCTAGACTATCCAGCCCCCAAAGAGCCATCCAGTTAAACCACTGAACATGAAAAATAATAGTCCTTACTTTATTTATTTTGAGTTTTCAAGACAGAGTTTCTCTGTGCAGCCCTGCCTGTCCTGGAGCTCGCCCTATAGACCAAGCCTGCCTTTGCCTCCCAAGTCCTGGGATCTTACTTAGTTTAGTTTTCGTGTTTAGTTCGTACTTTAAACCACTAAATTTGGTGTGATTTGTTCTGGAACGAAAGCTATTTGATTGACATCTTTTGGATAACATTTTCTGACATAATTTTCTAGAAGCAGGCCTTCTGGATCAGACTGAGCACTCCTTTGCACCTTTCATACCACAAAGAATATCTGAATTTATAAGCTAACAATATGCGGAGTGTACGGAGGTAACCACACTCCCCATCTTTGTCAGTACTGACCATTAGCATTCTTTCCATCATGACCACACCGTCCTTGTAAATTGAGGAGTGAAGGGTCTGCCCATTCTCCCTTCATTCAGATCAGTTAAAGGAAAGGAAAACTGGAGGGTGGTAGAAGGAAAGCCAGGCTTGATGCTATATATCTACTAAACCAAATACCCTGGGCACTGAGGCAGGAGCATACGAAGTTTGAGGACAGCCTAGATTACATCCTCAGACCCTGTTACAAACAAATGAATGAATGATACATAGAAAAGGGAGAACAGAGAAAGGAGCAAAAGTAGAGTAGAGAAAAATGGATGATAAACATAAAGGGAAGACTTAGAGAATAGAAGTGGTTTCTTTTTCTTTGACTCTTATAAAGGCCAACACACAGCTTTCAAATAATATACATGGGAATTTATTATTACTTATAAGTACTTGGCCTTAGCTTGGCTTGTTTCTTGCCAGCATTTCTTAACTCAAATTATCCTGTCTATCTTTTGCCTCTGGGATTTAGCTTCAATATGCTATATTCCTTTCTTTACTTCTTTTTATTTTCTTCGAGACAGGGTTTCTCTGTGTAGCTTTGGAGCCTGTCCTGGAACTTGCTCTGTAGACCAGGCTGGCCTCAAACTCACAGAGATCCTCTAGCCTCTGCCTCCTGAGTGCTGGGACTAATGGCGGGCACCACCGTCTGGTGGCGAGCTTGGGAACAGG